CAAAACGGGTATTGGTCAACTTGATCAACCTCATAACCACCAAAAAAAGAAAATCTAATAAATATAAACTTACCCTTTTTTTTCCTTCTAGAATGACATCAAATTGTATCATGAAACTACATTCGTTTATCCTAAGCAAGTTTAAGCTCGTAACAGTATAAATCTATTTATAATTAAATTTTATTGTTTTTTGCCCTTCTGACTGCCCTTTGAATTGTGTCTATGTTCCGAGCCATTATAAGTTGTAAATCACACAGAGAACATGCAGCCCACTATCAAATTACATTACCCATGAGCTACTACAAGCTGCTTGAGTTCATGTCTCGTGAAACATTTTTTTTTATTTTACCTAATCTTAATCTTAACTAACCTAAAAACATACTTTTAGATACTTTATAATAATAAATAAAGAATAAACATGAAACACAAGAAATAAAGTACTTACCCAATCTTCTTTTTTTTTTTGCTGTCAATTGTCGATGACACTTAACATTACTTTTTATATACTAATGGTAGTAATGCACTAGATTTTTATTTCATTAAATAATGCACCAAAGTACAAACTAATAACATGCAAAAAGTAGACAATTTTCTGTAACCCCCAAAATTTTTCTGGCTTTCTAAGTATGCAACAAGAGCCGTTAGAAATTCATACAAGCTAGTCATTACCCTTCCCACGGGAACAAAAGCTGTACTACAAGTGAAATTGACACTCATCTGTTCAGAACACAAAGTTATACAGTACATCATTTGATAGATGAAAACCTTGGCTTTCTATTGGTTATAGGTAATATATAATTAAATGTAAGAGAGAACTATTAACAAATCCTGAAAGACAGAATGTGACATGAGGGGTCTGATTTTCTATTTGATAGCTCTGTGACCAAACAAAATTGAAAGCTACAAAAATTATGGTTTGTCCAAGCATTGACAATTTTATGGAGTAATTTACATTTAATTTCGTAATAATTGGAGAGGTGATGGATAAAATAGAGAAGAGAAAATGTGTCACACCAGGGAAAATTCAGGATTTTGTCTTATAGAATTAAGAACTTAAAACTTATATACTATTAAAATATTAATTATTAGCTAAAGATTTTATGCTATATTAATTGGTATAACATAAACAAAAAGTAGTTTAATAAAATTTTGAATGTAAGACACTAAAACCTTGTCATGTGCAGTAAAGGATACTTGTGGTGAAAGTGTTAATAAGAAAGTTATATACAAATGAGAATGGTAACATGAATGCAAATGCTGGACCTATAATACAGCAGTTCCAAAGCAGAACTATAACAGGAGAGAGACATGCCTATTTCACAATGATTTTAAATTGGTACTGCAACCCCAAAGTGGACGTAACATTTTTCACAAGCAATAGAAAAGGCATATTCTCAGGTGCTATTTAAAAAATCAGTGTGCACAATTTCATCAATTAATATCTAAGGGTTTGGCTACTGGGGATTAAATACACAGTTGATAAAGCAATGAAAGTATATCATACATTTAATGTCAGTAAGCTAAAGTGAAGCCTGCCTTACTCCAGCGTGAATTATTTTTCCTACAGAAAAACTATTTCTGTTAGAAGTTTGAGTTGTCTACAAACATCTTTATTATAATTTATTTGTCCATATGCATCTTTATCAATATCAATATTATGATCACAAAGCCTGCACAAAATCCTAATGTCTAGTTTTTCCCACTTTGAAAATCAAATAATTTGAAAAACTTGAAGTGTGTTTGGTAAGAATATGTTTCCAAATATCAATTCTTGCTATAGTTTTATACAGCCCTTTTAGTTTTAAAATATTGTTACAACAGTGGAAATCATGTGACGCTAGTAACACGTCATAAGCTTCTAGAAAATTCA